TTGACCGGTAAATGCCTTACAGCATGACGATCAGTGAAATATTTCCCTTATCTCAGGTGAGTGACGATAAAGTGATATCTCTCGGCAGTGTGGGCCAGATGCCATCACAATGGAGTGTGCCTCAATTACACCACTGCCTTCAGTCAGGTATTTCAGCCTCACAGAGGATTCACTGATGTGTTTAGCCTCTGTTGATGTTTCACAAACAACCAGACTGCCATTAAACCCTGTATCGCATCTTCATCTAGATTCCTCCTGGCTCCAACACAAATTACACCCACAGAATATCACAGAGCTTCTGATGACCTGCACATCTGCGCAAATATGTAAAATAAATCACTATTATTTAATTATGTTTGAGATCTTGCATAAAACTATTAAATAACTAAAAAAATCAAAGTAACATCTGTGCGTAATTACCCTATGTCATCTTCCACCTTGTGTACCAGTACATCTTTACAGCTCGTTATTTACTGATTGAAGACAGACCTACATGAACATGCTACAGTGAACAATGCACAGAAGTGCCACATCTTGCTTATTGCATCTTCTCGAGGCAAGGGAGTTAACAGACTCTAAAAGTCCAGTTTCCACCCTTGCCAAACTAGGTTGCAATTTCTGGGCTCGATCGTAGCACCACCAGTGGTTATTATGAGTTTTGTCCCTTCTTTGTCCCTCCTATTGACCAATCAGATTCCTCCAATCACATCACTTGCCTTTACTTCAAACAAAATGATGGCGCTCAGTCAAGATGATCTGATCGATGATATTGTAATAAAACGGGTCTTAACTCTCAAAGTGCATCAAATTATCATGGGATAACATTTATACTAAGTTATCTTATAATAATTAGATCTACATCAAGTGCTTTTATGAATTATCATGGAACTGTTCTGGGTGAACAATACCTTCCAAATGACGTGCTGGTTTTCTTGGGGAATTAGTCAGCAAAGAGCCAGAGTCACAGGAGACTAATCACAATTTTATTTACAAGAACAATTAACAATTTACAATATACTTAGATAATAACTGAGGGTGCCACAGAGAGTTGGTACACACTCTCGGCTGTGGGAGAGAGGTCTGCTTGGTAAGAGTGTCAAACCCCTTCTCTGCTTAAAACCTGCCTACAGTATGTATTTAACAAAAATTTAAACAAATAAAAAGGAATGTGATTGGTTGATACACGATTTGTTGTGTCCTAAGCTAAATTATTATAAGATAACTTAGTATAAATGTTATCCCATGATAAAATCATGTGAGCACCTGGATTTAATATAGAAAAAATTTGGAAAATATCTATTGACGCTCAGTTAACGGTTCACATTGTTTGCAAATCCTGCAGTCAACCGAAGTCCGAAATGTTAAAAACCATGTAGTTTTCAAACTATGTCGATTTCGTTACGCAATTTTGATTGGACTATGCATAGACTTGTCAATCCAGCCAAAATATATCTCCATAAATCCAACCTAGTTTGGCAAGGGTGGAAACTGGACTTTTACAGTCAGTTAACTCCCTTGCCTCGGGAAGATGTGGGAAAAACTTTTCAGTGCCAAGTGAATGATAATAGTGAGTGAGTGAGTATGGTTTTACCCGCTTTTAGCAATATTACAGCAATATCACCGATGTGGACAGACATGGACAGACTAGAAATGGGCTTCACACATTGTACCCATGTGGGGAATCGAACCCAGGTCTTCGGTATGATGAGCAACCGCTTTAACCACTCAGCTACCCTAACGACCCGATAATATTGAGTAAATAATCACCATTGCTCTGAGTGTTGATACATCAATGACATTACACTCGATCATAATCATATTCTTGAACTGTTTTGAAAGTTATGACTTAGAAAAAATACATAGAGAGGTTAAAATGCAAGTGTGTTTTGGCACTGTAAATATCAGTGGAAAGGAAATAAGTGTGTAAATTTAGAAATAATTACAGAAAATCTGCTAGAGAACTATCACACTGTAATTGACATAATTAAATTCCATCACCATCCATGCATTCTGTAAATACAAGAAGCAAATGATTTGATCGAAATTGATGATATATCATGCTATTATTCTGTTGTTTTTTACTCCCCCTCCAACCCATGAAGGTTTGGGTAAGAATTGGTCTTCAGCATCAATGAAATCAATTAATTGGAATAACACAAGCTGTAGCCGTCAGTTTTGTGTGGGTGTGATTAAGTGCAGTGTACATTGTCCCCACCGTGAAGATACAGGTTAGAATTGATCTTCACAAACCCATGCTTGTCTTAAGAGGCGACTAACGGTCAAGCTTGCAGACTTGGTTCATGCATGTCATCATATCCCAATTGCGTGGATCGATACTCAGGATATCAATCACTGGATTGTCTGGTCCAGACTCGATTATTTACAGACCGCCGTCACGTAGCTGGAATATTGCTGAGTGCGGCGTTAAACTACAAATAAAACTATATATATATAAAATGATACTACGCATGAAATATATTTGAGGCCTGTTTGCAGGTTTCCTGTTTCAGAGGGTAACATCACTTCCTTGTTTCTGTATCATATACAGTAAGACTCCAGAGGTGCAGAGAATTGTAAGGATATAGTAGACATGGTAAGTGAGTGAGTGAGTGAGTGAGTGAGTGAGTGAGTGAGTGAGTGAGTGAGTGAGTGAGTGAGTGAGTGAGTGAGTGAGTGAGTGAGTGAGTGAGTGGTAGGGGAAGGGGGAGAGGGGAAGGGGGAGTGGGTGAGGGTCTTATTCTCCTTTTAGCTATCCTGCAACATCATGACAGGAGACACCTAAAAAGTGCCTCGCATACAGTACCCATGTGGGGAATCTAACCTGGGCCGCCAGCAATATTCCAGCAATACGATGGGGAATCGAACCCAGGCCTACTGCGCGAATGTTTTAACCACTAGGCTTCCCCATCACCCCCTTAATTTTAAACACTGCTTGGGTTATAATTACAGATATAAGCCTAGATTTACACGCCTCAGGAAACACTAACAACGGCATTCAGGAAAACAATTCTTTCCATTTTCTTACACCTACACACCACACGAGAGCATTTATCCAACAATCAATTGCATCAGCTGGAACCCCATCAGGAATTTCTCAATCACAGTAAAACAAACAGCCTTTCAACTGTTAGTAGCGTATCTATGGTGACATCTTCTCAAACATTAACTTGCATAGACCTGTTCCAAAATTCATTTGTGATGAAAGAATGTACTAAATTATGCAGTGCATTGCAGATAAAATCAGCAGGTGAGGGGAAATCAATTAAGGCTATTGTTGCCGATTGTCGCTGTCTACAGGCCAGTGTGGAGAATCGACATGCGTTATGCCGGCATTCAAGCCTTCTGTCAATGGCAATGGACATTCTTTTTTAGTACGTTCCATAATTATGGTGGGAAGAAACTGGAAATTGTTCTGACAAAAAACGAACTGATGGGAAAAAGAAAGTTTGATTTTTAGGTAATAGGAAAAGTGAAAGAAGTGTTGTTAAATTTGACAATGTCTATTGAACCATCACTTATTCCTGCAAAGTAATCTGTGGCTGGGTAAAACTGTGTAAAAATAAATTAGTTCAATGAAGACAGGAAAGAAAGGAATTTGAAACCATGTGGCCCTTACCATGTGCCTATCATGATTAAATGTAAATTTATGCTAAAAAAAGCAAAAAAGCTTAATTTTCAATAAGATGTCTAAGATAACCATAGGCAGTTGTGTACTAAGCAAATTCTTTTTTTCAATATTTAAAAGTTTTAAATGAAATTATATTTTAAAAAATAACACCATGTGGAAGTACCGATATTCATTCTTTGAGTGCTGACTAAGCGAGAGTACAGTTATTTGGGGAACATAAAAATCACTACTTTAAGATATTCTCAACTGAAAATCAAACATGATAAAATCAACTAATAGGTCGAGTTTCTTTTGCGCCTCAGTTTATATTGTATAACAATGTCACATTGAGTGTCAGATGAATGAAGCATTGATGATCTTACCAGGGGTATCGCAATCTCATTAAAATCAGACCTTAGTTCTCGCTACCGCTAAACAAAGATCTGAAGACATTCCATTAGTGGTCATGTCAGATCGACCTTTCATCCGACCAATCAGTGCGTCGCTTACCAGATTATGAAAGTGACAGTCGGAGTGTGATTTCTAATCATACAACCTCGAAAACTTTAACATGGGGTATACCAAACGATAGTTACGGGTTTAACGACTGATTCCTTACAATCTAGACCATCTATTAGCCATTCCAGAATGTTTTTTGTTCAGGTTTCAAATTTTTAATCGGAATTTGTCAAAATATGTTTCGAAGCGAAGTCGCCAATTTGAAATTAGTGCCGTAAAGCACGAGAAAGCTGCCTTCTGATTGGTCATTCCATTTGTCGGTCAAAGTTTGTGCAAGGTCGGTCTGACGTGACCCGTAATGGGATGTCCTCAGATCTTTGTTCAGCGGTAGCGAGAACTAAAATCTGATTTTAATGAGATTGGGGGTATCAAGACAAAGACTCACACAAAATGACTGTCTATCTGTCTGTCTGACTTGATATTTTAGGAACAGTAGTAATATAAGTAGAAATTTACATTTTAAAGTCCTCAAGATAAGTTAAAATTCCTTGAATGGATAGACATGGTACATTTCTTGAATGGATGGCTAGATAATTAGAACTTGGATAGGAGGGAGAAAGGATGGATGGGTGTAGAGAATGGGATGGATGAATGGATGGGTGAAGAGAATGGGATGGAGGTAGAGGATGGATGATGTGTGTAGAGGGTGGATGGATGGGTGTAGAGAGTGGATGGATGGATGGATGGGTGTAGAAAATGGATGGATGGGTGAAGAGGATGGATGGATTGGCTGTTGAGTGGATGTTGAAAGGACAAGATGGATAGAGCGGTTGATGGTTGGAAGGATGGGATGAATGGGGGAACAGGATGGGTGGATGTGACATGATGGGTGTGGATGGATGGATGGATGGATGGATGGAAGGAATGTTCTTACCTGTATCTCTATCTTCATTTTTATCAATCTCATGTTTCCGTATCTGGAGTTCTTTTTTCAAAATATTAATAGTGGTGGCTCTCTCTTCCTGTTTCATAAACTCCACAAGATCATAGGGCCGTCGCAGGTTGAATACACTGTCCGCCTGAAACCATCAAACAGTACTACTTGATCTACTTGTGCAGCAACATCATGTGGACACAGGGTATTTCTCCTTGTCAAATAATTAGTTCACTTCATCAAGTGACCTGCAAAGTTGATACTTTCATGAGAGTCATGAGAGGTGCAGCCACGAGTGGAAATGTAAACTTTGCAGGTCATGAGACAAATGTTTCATTAATTATTTACTTCAGTGTGAAAGATTGAGTTTTCTGAAGGTGTGAAAAGTGATATTTACATTGCAGTGAACATAACACTTTGACAGAATTATTGTCTTACAAAAGTTACCAAATTGTCTCCCCCTTATCAGTGTCGAACCCTACATAAACAGTTGACTTCATTTTTATGCTAGATCCACATTGTCAAGGCAAAATAATGACAGATCATGGTCATTTATGGAGTTAATATCGCTTTTTGACGTTTGTTATTCTCTTGAAAACATTTCATTACAAACTGTAAATTTCTCATTTAACTCGTCAATCAAGACTCACTGTTCAATTCGAAAAGTGCTATTTTTGTTATTTAACCAACAGCAGTCTCATACATTTCAAGAAAAAATTTTTTTGAAGTTTAGTTGGTATATTAACTATATCCAAATATATGATAAAGAATTTTATTGACCTTAAATATTTTTATTTACTTTTGTTTATATTTTTCAAGATTTTGCAAACACGGAACTACTTTTTAAGATGCAAGTACACTGGGTGGGATAATTTACATTTCAAGGTTTTACATTTGTACTGAAATAATTTAATTTTCCAATAGACAACTACACAAAAGAATGTATAATAAATAGAATATTCCATGTATCAAGTAAAATATGTATCTCTCATCGTGTGACAGGACTAAGGAGATATTTTCACGTGTGGCGTATCTATTAATTATGTATTTTCTTTCATGATTTCATGATCTTAATCTTGGCACAGACTGTGATAATGTCTTTTTTCACTTGAGACAAATACAGTATTTCATCACAAAATCAATAATGATGATGATAAAGGATTTTATGTACAAACTACTATACAACATCATAAATACACTCGCAAAATGTAACCTAGACGTCAGATTCACCAACATAACAGAAGAGTCAGGGGATGTGATTTCAGGGGGATACCCTCTTTGACTTAGCAGACGATCATTACAGGAAGATGCTGCAGACCACTTAAAACTTCATAAATAAACCACATTTGGATCAATGATGGTCTTGCATGAGCAGCCTTCGAAACTCGCACTAATCTGCTTGACCAAGAATTGTTTCGAGGACAAGTAAACATCCAATGATGCTAGTCCTCATTGACTAGTAGCATTTGAACATTATACGATAATTCTGAACCAGTTCTCAATGCTTTAATAATGCTACAAATTGGAACTTAATAAAGCTGACAGAAAATGTAAACATTTCTGGTTTATTCACATGATTCAAGCAGAACTAGCTCCTAAGTCTGAGGACCAGTGAACATGAGTTAAATAAGGTCTATACTGGGCCTCTGGACCAGTGTTATGGAAGTTACCTGTTTCTCATCAGCTATTGCTAAAACAGCATCACACTGGCAAGATCGCGAGAGACACACAGTCAGAAATGTCTCCTTGCTTGGAGGAATTCTTCAGCATTGAGCAGATTGCTTGTGTGAACATATGACTGCTAACTCCAATTTCCATCATTAAAAACATTTGGAGTGTCTGTCCTATGGACAGGACTTTATAAGGGATGCAACCTTTCTCCTTCCTTATTCAAGTTATTGTATCATTTGACATACTCAAAAAGCATAAAATACTCATATCCCCCACCAATACCACCATTATCAAAGTTGTGGCCATAGAAACTCGAAAAATATTTTTTTCAAAAATCCCAAACTATCAAAAGGCACCAGTTTGTCACAAGCCCTGTTTGTGCCAAGTTTGGTTAAGATATCTCTATTGGTTTTTCAGTTCTGCTCCGGAAACGAAAGATGAGGGACGGATGCACGGACCGAGAGCACCCATTCCTATATCCCCCTTTCACTTCATGGCAGGGGATAATAATCAGGTTAACATGAACTATTTGTCTGTTTCATGAACAAGCTGCTGACAGCTGCTGCATACACACATGGCAGCTGGACTTCAGACCTGTCAGATGGCTGGAAATCATACAGCTAGCCAGCATCCAAGTGCAGCAGTTGCCACATCAGTGACCTACACATATTTTAACAGTTTCACTGTTCTGCATATCTATGTATTTAGTGTATCCCAGGCCTATATGATTCAGTGCTGTACACAATGCAGGGTTTAACATGTCCACTAGTCTGGTAGGCTGAGGCGAGTGAAAAAAGCATTGAAATTACTTGCTTTTCACTGGACTCTAAATACACCAATGGTGTCTATGTCAGCATAGTCAGCAACAATGAATGACATGTGACATATAATAAACTATTATTATTATTATTATTAAATCATTTTCATGTCAAAACTACAGAAACATGTACAGATTTTGATAAAACACTGGAAACTGGAGACTTAATGTTGATAACTTTTTGATTAAGAAATAAATGACGAGTGGGACTTGTTTATCGTACAATAAAACACTACAGCTAGAATAAACCATGAGGGGGTTTATTCTCTCTGCAGTGTTATTTTGTACGATAAACAACAACTATGGGGAGCTTATTTTTCAAATAAGATATCAACATCATGTACAGCCTCTTTAAGGATGATGATAAAATGTACAAGCTTTAAAAACAATCTGACTTCAGCAATGTTGGACAAGTCCATTTTATGACGAGGGGGGGTAAGTTTGGTATTTTCCGGATATTCTCACAATTTTCACATCGATAATCTGTGCCTTTTCTCCCAATACTTATTGTGATATCTCTCCTAAATTTGGATGAGATTATTCAGCCACTGCGTTAATATGCATAGCACAGCGACTTCAATAGGGAACAACTCATTGGACACTTCCATTTCAAGAATAAAGACGATCAATTTACAAAGTCATCAAGTAGCGAGCGAGTAGCGAGTAGATATTCAAATCTCCAGAAATGATGTCATGATAGAACAATATTTTATCGTGAAATAAACCATGCATCCTTCTTCATGCTTCTTTGTGATTTAACCCGTGAAGATCCGGGTTATAATTGCAGTGTTCCCGTTTACCGGCAAATACCAGTTTTTTACCGACAAAATTAAGCTTGGACCGGTAATTCATGTGACTGCCAGTCCCTGTGGACTGGCAAATAAAGTACCGTAGAAATCTTTGTTATTGAACAAAACATTGGTGATATTCATATAAGTACATCTTTCGAACAAAGTCAGCATGACTGTTACCATCAGGGTTTCCCCTTGTCTATTTCTAGGATAAATATCCATTTGTAGCAACTTTGTCTCGAAATATTAAAAAAGAAGAAGAGAAAATTGTGACTGAAGTTTTTGTGATTGCCATATAGATCTAACTAAGTTACTTCAGAGATGACATCTCTGCACCGAACATTATGTTGAATGAATTAAAACCAAATAATTTTCATATATGTTTATTTATTTGTTGAAAGTTGGGACTGGCAAAAATTAGGGAGGACTGGTAATTTTAAAAGTTTCAAAAGCCATCAGGAACACTGGAATTGGTCTTCAGCAAGGCGACTATGCTTGTCGTAAGAAGCGTCTAACAGGATCGGGTGGTCAGGCTTGCTGACTGTGTTTGATGCATGTCCTCGATGCTCATGATATCAATCACCAGATTGTCTGCTCCAGACGCGATTATTTACAGACAGACGTCATATAGCTGGAATATTGCCGAGTGCTAGGTTAAAGAACCAATATACAAAACGGTTTGATTTATCGCGTAGATATTTTATACTACACAATACCAAGCAGCCATGTCAATGAATAAGGCTCCATGTAACCAGCTGTATAATGATGCTGTGTAACATTACCTCAAACTGATACATTTCAGCTGACACAATATTGATCCAACATTGCCATCTGCAAGCAGGGATTGTCAGGTAGCAAACAAAAGTTTTGCCACACCTGGTACAATGTGTAAAACACATAACCAGTGAGTGCGTTGGAGGCAAATGGACAAAAAAATTAACTGGTCTGAATAATGTTCACAATTTTTCATCTAGAACAAAAATCCTAACACAATAAAACGTTTACTTATAAGAAGATGCATCAAGTAAGTAGGAAAGTCTGTACATACCGTATTTGACGTAATAAGTGCCCGCTCTAATAAGCGCCCTTCCGATTGATCAATGTACACAAGACATATTTATTCGTGTATAATACGCACTCGTGTGTTATATGCACCTTAATTATGGGTAATTAAATTCTGGAAAAATATATCTGTCGTATATAAACAGTTCAGACCGTCAGCATAAACCACGAAATTTATCTTTTTAATTCCGTTTTTTTCCACCAAAATAATATTCTAATAAGAGCCCCCTATTTCTAATTTTGAGAGCGCCCTGGGCGCTTATTACGTCAAATACGGTATTATACATGAGAGACAGATCTTACCAGGAAATAACTGCCCATAATTAAGGGTGCGCATTATACACGAATAAATAAGGTTTGGGTACATTGATCAATTGGAAAGGGCGCTTATTGGGATTGTTCACTTGACAATATATTAGCAAATAAGGCCACGGGCGCCTAGTAGAGCAGGGCGCTAATTACGTCAAATAGGGTAATGGAAATCAGTAGCCCATCAAATTCATCACAAGTCATGACAATTGAACTTTCATCCGACTTCCATCTGCTGTAGACACATGTTAGAGTGTGGTTACAAGTGGGTCATACCACTGTGCTGTTTGCACTGTAAGTCTTAGTTATCACATGGTGCACATAAAACGTGTAAGGATGGGCTATCCGGAATTAATTTTGTCCCGCACAGAGGCCGATATTGCTACCCTGCAGCAAATGACAGTACAAATTCCAAAATTGGAATTAAAAATTTCCAATTCATATATTATACATGTAGTTATATAATTAGAGAAAAAGCAACAAGCTACAAGGAAT